CCTTCTGCTGTTTGTTTCAAACGGTCGCGTTGCTCTTGAAAATCTTATAAAGTAAGTTTTAAAAACGTCCCATTTCTTGTTTGTACAATTTTGCCTATTGCTTTGAGCTTCATCTCTCAGTAGATTCTCGGTCAAATAATTTTACTTGATCTACAGCTTTATCTGTGAGTGGCTTTAGCTTGCTAAATGTTATCAGTCGAGTGACTTCAGTGCTTTTGTGTTCGGCAATTTGACCAATGGAAGGCATTTTTTCTTTTTTTCAATTTTCGAAGTGGTCTTTCTACAGGTATGGAATACTAATATCGCCGATCCAGTGGATTTATTTCATTTCAACTGATCCCTGGTGGAAATGGCCCAATTTGGCAATGGTACTGTTATCGAACATATCCATTTTCATCGTATTCATCTTCGAGAAATTGCTATGTATGTTTTTAGCAAGATTTGTAGCTGAGAAAGAGTTAAGGAGACGTTTGATTGCGGACTTGTCGCTGTATATTTTTGGAAGCTTAGATTCCGTATTTAGTTGACTTTCGGTATCTTGCATGTTATAGAATCAGACCGTTCTGAGAGGCCTCATGAGAGCTAATCGGAAGAGAGATCGGCTAGCCAGATGGGAAGCATTGCCGCATGCGGGTGCCTTTGCCCGAGGAGCAGGCAACATTGTTTCCCTGGCATATTTTGACAGAAAATTTGGTCACCTGTAGCCGTACTGCTGTTGTTGGCAAAGTATTATTTTCACTTCTGAATGCTCCTACTTCTCACAGGGAAGGAAATACGAGGGATTTCTGATTTTTCCGGGGTTTCACTGTCGAAATTGTTCGATTTTTTTTTAGCATGGAAGTGGCTGACTAATCGCTGTGCTCTCATCCTCTACGCAACCCTCTTTTCGCTGCATATATTTATACCTGCTGCAGTCACGTGGCGCCTACAGGTTACACTTTTACGCTTTTTTAAAGCGTTCATCACTTGGACATTGCTTTGAATCTTTTCGGGCCATTTTGACTGATATAGTCAATTTTTAGACGGAATGGGGTACTGCCACTGCTAAAGACTGCTAATTTTAGGGTAATCCAGTGTATTCGGTACTGGCACTGTCAGTGTACGTGGTGCTTTTTCTCAAACTCATCTCATATACACATACCAATTATTGGTACAGGACAGCAGAGGGAATGAACGAAAGGCGCCTGCACGAAGTACGCGAATCTTTTTTTTTTTCTAATTTTTGCAAAAGTTGAGTTTTACAACCTTATCTGCTGCCGCTGCTGCTGCTGCTTACATACTCTTTCATCGATTACGCATTTTTTTGGAAGAGGGTTTCTCCGACTGTTGATTTGATTTGGCTTACCACAGTATAATTCTACGTGAATTCTTTTTGAAGCTTCTCTCTGTAAGTTTATTTATAAATCTGACTTCTTGAACTCTCATCTTTTTAAACGGAGCCATGCGAATGCTTTATATAATTTTTTCTGGAGAGAGAACAGTTTTGGATTAGCTTGTTTCAATAGTAACCATTGTCTTTGTCGTAGGATTAATCGTTGTCTGTGAAAAAATGCCTTAACTATGACCAGAATTCTTCAAGGCTCTCAAAATATCTCATAATTTAAAGCCTCTTTCTTATTTTGTTCTCAGTGAAAGTCGAAAACTTGGAGTAGCCCGGGGTGTGAGCCGATTGCTATCAGCAACCACGTAATTTTGTCTTATGACTACTAGTCAGTGCCTTATGAAGATGTACAGTGAAAAGCGTAAAATTGGATGATTAAGTGCTAAAAGAGGAGTGAAAAGTCAGTTGGTAACGGCAGAAATGGATTTTGGTACAAATCCTTCTCATTGCCGTTCAAAGAAATACAGGCGCCACTAAATTACACTGTTACTTATTGGCACTTCATTGCCAAAATACTTTAAACAGTTTGTTGTTTCATCATCGCATTCCGTTCTCGCCACCAACGCATTCATCACCTGCCAGCTCTCTGCTCGCCTAGTAATCTGTGAAAGCATTGCCAATTTGCTTGCAGAATGAAATTTCAAAATTCGCTTTTTGAAAATGAGGGCTTTCTTCTTGGTTCACAATTTCGGTTCCTCAAAATAATAGGGTTCGGTTTTGCCGCATTCTCCCTTCCCCACATTCTTCATACGTTCCTCTTTTGCTTGTTTTTGTTCGGAAACGCCAATTACATGATTATTCCGGAGCGTTTTTATCATATCAGAGGTATTAGCGAAGTGATATTACTGCATGAAAGATGCGAGGGCTGGAGTGCAGCTATTTTATAGTATAAAAAAGTGTTCGGTGAGTATCACTGAAATGTGAGTTTTTAGGCAGGCAACGATATGTCAGCAATTTACCCCAACAATATAACAATAAAGAATTTATATTACTTTGTATTTGCTCCTACTTTGTGTTATGAATCAAAGTTTCCACGATCGCGCGGTCGACGCAAAACATTCATGCTGAAAAGAACTGCTGAAGTTTGTTTCCTGGTTTTTTTTTTTTGTATTTGTCTTCAAACTTTTCGTGTATTCATTGTTTTTGCGAAGTTTGGCGGAGTTTAAATTTGTTTTGTTGGGCCGAAAATGAAGAAAAAAAGGCAGGTAACCACTGACAGCAACAGACAAATCAGCAGGCGACGTAGCTTCGATCGAAAAGTAGCTATCTACATCGGTAGCTTGAAACTTCGTTACGATGCCGTGGCAGTTGATCTGCGAAATTAACGAATTCATTACACTGTTGCATCATAGATCATTTTGTGCTGCGTGAACACTGTTCGTTTTTCAGTTCATCGGTCTGACGCTAATCATAATCGCATTGTGCCAACAGTGGGTTGCACCTCTTCTTCGGAACAGCGTCGAGCCGTTTGCAACAATGAATCTCAGCCTGTGCATCGAACGGGTTCTCAAATTGGCCATACCGAATCATGTCATATGGCTCATTTTCTTCTACACTATTTTCCATTCCCTTCTCAATCTAATCGCAGAAATCATGGAATTTGCGGACAGGCAGTTTTATCTGTAAGTGTAAATACGATTTTCTAGGCTGTATAATATTAACAGTATTTTCGATCCTCTGCTATCGTTCCAGTGTAGCGCGCCGTCGATGCAGTGGGCAATTTTTTTCACGGCTTTTGTGACCGAACCAGCATTACTTGATAGTCTCCCGGCATTCGTTTGCCTGCTCTGCCTCTTGTTCCTGAAAGAAAATGCTAGATATTGCATTTAGTTTCAGTTTTTGTGTTGTTTGGAATGCGCTTTACCTCGAACTTCCTGCACTACTAGATTTTTTTTGAGGTCAGGCCAGTTATGCCTTATCACAGACTGCATTTTCTTTTCCAAACTGCAGGAATCCGGACAATTAAAAATCGAAAAAGGACGGCTTAAAGCAGTGTGTTTGAAAAAGAGGCGTGGAGAGAAAGGAACTGTGATCTGTTTCGGGCATCTACTTATGAAAAAACACTAAATATTGAGAGGACATGTAGAGATAGGTGAGACAAGCTGTAGTGATTAGACACTTATTTTAACATATTTTCTTTTTTTTAACACTATTAGCTAGTTTGCCACTCAGTTTTCTCTTACTGTTTACTCCTTTCTCTTTTTTCTGCTCTCCTCTTATGCTTCTTTTCTCTTCTGTTCTCCTTGTCTTGCTTTTTTAAATTTGTCTTTTTCTTACACGGCAAGTGAGAGGCTGTACTGACGATTCCCATTCCTATCCGCATCCGATGCTCTGTCTGTGTTTACAGCCAAGGAATGAAACAGAGATTGCAAACTTACTTGATCCATTAGAATATGTAATTTTCAAATAATCTTATTAGACAGTTAGCAGCACTTAACAGCAGAGAACAGTGGAGTAAAAATAGACTGGACCGGTTTAGCCCAAGCCAGGCTCTGATGAAGACAGACATGCGGCCGTGCTCGTACTAAAGCTTCCTAACATCTTGCGCGAATCAGAAGGGCTCATAACGAAGAACCATGAAACAACAGAGTTGCTAAGGACAGGAAAGGTGAATTGTGGGGCTGCGTAGTCGTTTATGTCTCAAAACAAGTTCCTAAAAGCTTTTCTCACTCCCAAAGCGAAGACATCTGAGGGGGATATGTTGAACTGTTTTTCCGGGTTTCCCGCATTTTGGGGATTTGCCATTTTAATATTGTTTCCTTACTCCGCATCTTCGAGCAGATGAGCTGACTTAAGAAATTCCGAATTTGGATCGTTTGCGGTGGTTCCATAAAAACAGTTAATTTTAGCCGTGTTTTCATGGAAAAGCAAATGGCTGCCTGCTCTTCAAGTGGTTAATTAAAATATCGCTTTTTTCAGAGATTTTTGGAATGCAGAAACGTTAACAGTATTTTGGAAAACATGGAATATACCAGTGCATCGCTGGGCCCTTCGGCATATCTATCGACCGATGACATCGAACGGTTTTAGTAAAATGAGTGCTGCGTGTGCAGTATTCTTCGTTTCAGCGTTTTTTCACGAATATCTTGTTAGTTCAAAATTATTTTTTGCTGTTTTTACATTTCTGCAAATGAAGAGGTTGGCATACTGACGAAACTCTGTGTGTCTGTTTGCTTGTTATCGTCTTAAATTTCATGACCAGACAAACTGTGATGTTGGAGATTTCGTAAGACCAAATTCTTTGCCTTGTAATGGCTTAGGGCCGCAGCTCCAGCTTTTAAGTCTCAAGCTATGAGAGAGGAGAGGGGGCGGGCGGAGGGGAGGGGGAGAGGGGGGAGATAAGAGGGAACTAGGTTTGCACATACCTAAAATTGTACATTTTGTGCTTTAGACATTTCATCTGTGTCTGAGGATGTAGCAGGTTGATTGACGGTTAGACGGATATAGGGTAAAAAGTCGGGGCAGGAAAATTGAACAGTTCTTAATTTCTCTGTTATCTTGATGTAGGCCGCAAGTTTCCAACAGCTCCGTTTGCTTTTTGATCGTGGAAAGAAAAGCGCAAAAGAAGGTCGGGGAGTAAATCCCTAAAAAGATGATCAATCTGTTTTTGAGCTGAATGCGGGTTTAAATCAACTTAACCGCAAAGCCAGATAAGAATATAAAACGCCGACTTACGCTTATTTTCCAGTGCGTATCGTTATTTACTGCTGTGCTGAGTAGACATACAGCAATGCATTTTGACGAAGGGATTTTTTTACAAATACAGTAACTTACTACACACACCTGAATAGCTAACGTGATCATGCGTTTTGTACAACTCTGTCCAGGGAGCGTTGTTCAACTTTGTCTGGTGGACGCTTGTGTAACCCTGTCCAGCGGACGCTTGTGCTACTCTGCCCAAAGGAATCTTACTGTTAAAAGTGTTCACTTCATTACTGTTTGACATGTACGGAAATTTATATTGGTGGCGATTTTTCATATTTTCGTAGCATAAGACCTCGGCCTGCGCGAGGGCTGAATTTACACACGGGCAGGAAGCATTCTTATGAAATTTCAACTCCTTAGGCTTTTCTGATTGCCGGGTTAATAATTCTCACGCCAAAGCTTTCAAGTGCCCGTACTTGAGGCCTTGGCGTACGTGAGGGCTGAATTTACGGGTTCGTACGCTGGCACGCAGCGGCACTTGTGTTCGCCCAGCTTATAGCTGCGTTTCCGTCGTATCAGTGCTTCACAGCGCCAGTCCAGTCCGGATGATTTGAATATATTACAGACTGGTCATTTGTGAGAGAAACCGTCATGGGGTTGTTGTAGGACCGCAGCTCTTTAAGAATAGTTACTAACCCTGCCCAGGGTTCCTTCCTTTTGTGTCTCCGCAGTACTGCAAATTTCTCCCTGTCGTGGGCG